CTTTTTAGGAAGTAATGGAAATACCTCTCTGGGGAAACTTCTTCCTACTAGCTGATAGGCAAGTGAAGGACTTTATGCACAAGATCATCCCTATAAAAAAAAGTTTTCTCTTTATATGGATGTCTTAATTCTTCTTTCTTACTTTAAGTCCTGCTAAGATTTTCAACAACATTCTGTGACAGCAAGTTCCACAGATCAGCCCTATGAAATGTTAAAAAACTCCTTTTTTTAATCTCAGGCTCTAAGTCTGTAGCCTTTCAGTTTCACAGACAGCTACTTGAACTCTAATGAGGTCAGTTAAAGAAGCACAGCTAATTTATTTTCTATCATTTACTGTCTTCTCTTGCTGTCATGCCTTCTTTTCATGTTCTCTCCTCACAGTATTCAAGTCCCTGGTGACATCAAGACTTCCTATTTTTCTTACCTCTCCCTAAATTCTGGTTAATATGAACATTGCACTGAGAATACACCTCTGATGTACCTAATGAAATAATTGGTTTTCTCCTTCATTTGATCTACAAGCTTTGCTTACATAGCTCACCAATACCACACACATTGCAAATACTTGTGTTCTCCACAATGCTGCACAGGTCTTCCCCCTGAGTAGAGCAAGTGAACGCAAAACTCAGGAACATGTGCAAACGATTTCTGCCAATGCACACTCTTACATGCAATTCGTCTACTTTGCACTCAAAAACTTCATCCACCCAGCTTTGTTAACTTGTTCCTAATATCATGAAAACTCTAACAAAGTTTCTTGAAAAAAAAGACATGCAATCTCTCAACTGCTACTGCACAGAGAAGAAGATGTAATCTCCTCTGTCAGAGCTCCTGAACATGCCACAGCACTGTCAGCAAGGGACATGGAGGACATGACAGGGACACAAAATAATTCTTAACAATTGGTCAAGGAAACATCAACTGTGTGTTCTGCTGTTATTATTTTTCAATGGTAAAAGTCAAATGGGAAAAATAAGCAAGCTGAAAATCTTTTCTAAAAAGATATTTTCCCTACAGCAATATTATTTTAAAAGAAAAGGCTCAAAGACCTGTAATTAATGAGAAAAATCCTGCTTCCTTCACCCCTTATATCTTGTACAACATTACCTTAGTTTTCCTTAGCATTTCCTCTCAGAAGTCATATATGTGGAATGCTCCAAGCATTGTTTAGGTTTCCCTCGAAAATTATAGTTCTATTAATATCAATACTCCTCACCGTGCATGACCTCCATTCTGTCAGTCCCACCTCTGGCTTGAGTTCTACTTTCTGCACCTGAGAAGGAAGGATGAATACTCCTTGGGGAAATAAGACCTATGTAGATTCTGTGACCACCAATACGCTCTTTGTTAGGGAAGTATTTTTTTCCTTCATGGTAATGTAGCAGTATAATACCTATATAGATAATTATTTGGAGGAGGTTTGAAGCAGCTAAATTCTGTAACTCTTTTCTGGACTCCTCACCTATATGCTGCAACATTTACTTGATCCACAAAACTAAGCTTTCTTCCACCAATAAAATTATTCAGTCATAACAAATAAAGGAAATAAAATTTATATCCTCTTAATATATCAGTGTTGCATTAGTTACTAAGTCTCCAGATAAGTCAGAAGTCTGCAGTCCTGATATTCAGCATAGTGGAAAACCAACAGAAGGGCCCCGTAGCTATGCTCGCAATCTGTCCTCGCAAAACATCTGACAGCTGCAACACTAACAAAATTAACAGTGGATGAATTAGTACCAGACGCTAAACAGTTGCTATAGAAAGACTCATCCATTTCTTTTCTTCTTCTCCCCTTCTTCAACCTGGCTACCCCACCACTTGATAAAATTAACACTCGGCATCATAATTTTTTTCTTTTGCTATTAAATAAAAAAAGCACCACAGATCCCCTTTCATACAACAAGACTATGAACTTCATGCCATCATCTCCTCAGACTCTTAAAGAAGCAGTCTGCAGTTGAAAAGGACTGTGTTCCAGTTCCCTTACTGCTTTTGAGCAGTGAATATGTATCCACTTGCAGATTTGGGATCCCACAAAATGACATGCCAGAGCTGCAGCTGAACAAGGCCTTTCTTTACAGGCTCTCTGCCCACACCTAACCTCACTCCTATGTGCCTTTGCCTGCTCCTTTTAAGCCCTCCCTTCCTTCATGCCTTCCTTCCTGCCTGCCTTCTTAGGTCTTCTTTCACCGAGCACTTTTCAATTTTTGAGTAAGGATGCCCAGTTCAAATGTTAGCATTCCAACTCTTGCATACTGCAACATCTGAAGCAGGTTGAGTCCTGACGTCTTACAGCGACAACTAAAAAAAGCAACTCCAGACATTAAATTCATAAGTATTATTCCAGCATTGAACTGGAAATGAGGGCAAGTGTCAGGCATTAAATTATACAGCTACCTTTACTGTATCTTGAATCAACTGATCCAACATGAAAATATGTCACCATCCAGCTAGGAGATTAAAAACCAAAAATCCATCCAACTCATCAATACCAATTTATCAAAATTGGTATTTTTTTATATAGAATCCAATTGTGTCTTTAGAGAAAAGTAAGCATTTTTACAGGATCAGCCTTCTGCTACACGAGAAAAATGTTAATAAGAAATTGCTGTTACTTTTTTACTAGATAGCATACTGTAACAATCCTAAAAAGTAGACCTAAGCATATGAAGAACAGCACCATACCATTACCTGCTGAGAGCTTCAGCATTTCAACTATTCACATCTGTAAGAAACGTAGTAGTATTTGGAAGTGACTATGCTAAGTACTAAGCAAAACATCTTAAACTCTGAATGACCACTCAGTGTGCGCATCCCTGCCATGTTTTGCAAGCTATAAGCAACTATTGAAAATAATGTTATGGCAAAAGCTGGGACTGGGAAGACAATTCCTGGGTCACTGAGTCCAACTCCTGATATCAGACAAGTTTACCCTATACTATCTGCACAATCTGCTTCATAAATTCTGTACTGAAGAAAGGTATGGTCATATACTGTAGACTTGAATCTGTGATGGGGAAAGAATAAATTAAAAAATAAAAAAACCCAAACCAAACAAAATCAACCAACCAACCAACCAAAACCAACAAAAAACCAAAAATGAGATTGCAACCGGAATCAGCAAACTTTTATGCAAAATATATAAACCCAACCCACTGCTATTAAAAGTCCTTCCCCATGTCATCCTCCCCAGTAGCTAATGGATCTGTCTTTCTCTGACATATCTCTCTGAAATACAAACATTTTGTTTCAGTGTAGTTCTTCCTTTTACACATGCACCCTGTCATCTCTGCAGGAAACTTGCTTGAACTTTACTTGTTGAATAGAAAGAGTTTGTACTAATTCAGTATGAAAACCACAAGTAGTGCATGCCTCTAAGATGACTTTATTAACACAACTTTCTGGCAGGATGCAAGAAGCAGTTTTTATGGAGATGCTGCAGTACCACAGACTTCTTCCTAGTTGGGAGTCTTGTAATCACTCTCTTTTCCATTTCAGCCAACTTTAAAAGATGAAAAAAGGCTTTGTAAACATGGCATGGCAGAACACTGCATTCTCCTTCTTCTACTACTGTAGACTGCTGAATGTGCTTAAACTCCCCTTCTTCTTTCTTATCTCACCACCAATAAGAAAACAATCAAAAAAAAAACCTTCTGTCATACCTGTCCAGCCCCTTATTTGACCCTGAACACCTAACTTCTTGCTAACAGGATGCAGCTGACACTTTTGATATTGACAGTAGAGCTAGAGAAGGATTTATATCTATGTTGTGTTCTGCAAGGATAACAAAAGTAAAAGTAGGAAAGAAGGCAAGAGATGGCAGAAGTGGGCAGATACATGTCTAAACAGCAAAATTCTACTGCCCACATTAA